TGAACTTGTGCCATCAATTGGCAAAGCTCGTGATTGTACTATTGTTCCATTTAATAATTGTCTAAATTGATCTAACTCATTTGAATGTTGTTAACTACCTCAAACATTTGACCCAAACGTTTATCTACGCGGGAATTGAGACAATCAACTAGAGAATTTACCTGATGAGCCATAGCTTTGGCTTCCTCCATCAATCGGCAACTCTCCACCATCATTTGGCGGTTCTCTTCCATCATCTGGCAAAGAGACACAACAACCTCGCCTAGATCAACATTTGGCGCCGACGTGAGTGGCACCTCCGCTCCGGCAAGGTTGCCTAAAGCTCCTCCGGCTTGGCCTGCTTCACCGCCGGCCACTTGCTCCTCCTCCACAACACCTTATGGAAGATTACCTTCTTGATTCTTTCGCCTAGGAGCCATCGAATCAAACACACAGTTGTCCCACCAGGTGTGCCAATTTGTTTTCCCGCGAGAAAAAAATGGTGTTTGAACACAATGAATGCACCTTTGACTTCTTGAACAACGACAATCAACACGGTTCACTCCTCTTCCAACAATGTTCGAACGGGGATGTTTGACGTTTTTGATGGTTTTTTTGGAACAAACTAAGTTAATTACACCTACTCCTATGGAAGTTCAGTGAGAGCTCCGAAAACTAAGGTTATGACTAATTTGCAAAGAAAAGATAAAAGTTTGACATTGTGCGTCAAATGGTTGGTTGTAGAACCCTTGCTTCGTTTTCATTTCTCCTATTTATAGCCATCCCTTGTAATCGTCGTGCAACCGCCTCTTGGTAACCGCTGCTCCACTGCTTGGTGCTTGATGTAGCTTGCTTGACGCCTTGACTGTCTTGCGTGCTTGCCACTTGATGACTTCACTTGATAGCTAACCACTTGTGCCATGGAGGTGTCTTGTTTGGTGAGTGAAGGCTTCACGCTTGGTGGTACTCGTGCTAACCACCTTGACATGACGTCATGTTCGACACCAGGGTGTTGGGGGGGTTTGATGGATGCACACTGACCCCCTTGGGATGGCATCATGCTTGAAGGGTCTTGACAAGGTGGTCTGACTACTTAGAAACTTGATGACCTTGCACGAGACCTAGCACGCCTGCTCTGCTTGGGTACTTGAGAGGTGAGTGTCAAAGCAATGCCGACACCAACTTTCCTTGCACGACATCATGCTTGACATCCTAGTGTTTGGTATCCGGTGCTAGACCCCCTTGGACGGTGTCATGCTTGACCCCCCTTGTGGTTGGATCTCCATACTTAGCCAATTTTCACCTCGGCAACATGCTTGACACTCTAGTGCAAGGTAGGTGGCTATGGTACTTGGTGCTTGACCCCCCTTGTGGTTGGGTCTCAATATTTAGCCAATTTACACCTCGACATCATGCTCGACACCCTAGTGCAAGGTAGGTGGCTACGGTACTTGGTGCTTGACCCCCCTTGTGGTTGGGTCTCATGGTACCTGGTGCTTGACCCCCTTGGACGATGTCATGCATGACCCCCCTCCCCCCCCCCCCCCCCCCCCCCCCCCCCTTGTCTGATGTCATGCTTGAACCCCCTTGCATGATGTCATGTTTGACCCCACTGGTGGTTGGGTCTCAACCCTTAGCCAAATTTTGGCTTTCTCCATCACCATGGTCTAGGGACTCGCGTTTCCCTTCTTCCCTTGCCAACATGCTTGATACCCAATAGGCGACTAGACCCCCTTGCGTCTCGTTATACTCGACTCACCTTGGATGGCATCATGCTCATGCTTGACGCCCCTTGGGATGATGTCATGATTGACCCCCTTTGTGCTGTGGGTCTCAACACTTAGCCAAATTTTGGCTTTCTTCGCCACCACGTCTACAGACTCGCGTCGCCTGAGAAGAGGTATAGTGCTTGACCCTGCTTGCATGACATCATGCTTGACCCCCTGGTGGTTACTTGGGTGGTTGATTTTGAAGGGTGTCAACGCTTGGCATTTGACCCCCCTTGCGTGACGGGTGGGTGTTTGGTGGGTCACGTGGTGTGTGTTGAGGTACCTGGTATGAAGCCAAAAATACCATTATTTAGGCCCAGCCTAAACCAATTTAATTAACATGGCTAAGTTGGCTTTATAAATCACTAGCACTCCTTGAAAACAATCAATGTGGTATGAAGCCCAAAATACCATTATTTAGGCCCAGCATAAACCAATTTAATTAACATGGCTAAGTTGGCCTTATAAATCACTAGCGCTCCTTGAAAACAATCAATGTGGTATTGAGTGATTTTTTTAGTGATAAACACAAACGGACGTAAAAATAGCATTTTTAAATGGTGTCATTCAAGAAAAGGTGTACGTAAGTCAAACAGTCAGATCATGGCATTTTCATTAATCAGTGTAAATATTAATCTGGAGTAAGTGTTGATGAAAAGAAATATATGGGAATGATAGGTTCTCTCTTATATCTAACTGCTAGCCTACATAATATTCAATATAGTGTATGTCTTTGTGCTAGATTCCAAGGTAATCCTAAGGAAAGTCACTTGACTGTCGTCAAGTGCATTTTCTGTTACCTAAAAGGTCAAAAAGTTGGCCTATGGTATCATAGACAATCTTATTTTGATTTCTAGGATATAGTGATTTGGATTTCGATGATAGTTTGGCTGATAGTAAAAGTACTTCGTGCTAGTTTACATATACTAGTCTTATCTCTTAGTTGTATAAGAAACAGGGTGAAGTGGCTCTATCCACATCTGAAGCCGAATATATAGTTGTTGGGAGCTGTTTTACTCAGCTTCTATGGCTACAAATCAGCTGCAAGACTACGGTATGTCTATTCTTACGATGCCTTTGTTTTGTGATAATACGAGTGCTATATGTATGACTAAGAAATCAGTTCAGCACTCCAGAACCAAACATATTGAGATTAGATACCACTTTATTAGGGATTAGTGCTAAATAAGGTGTTTCAAATCAATCATGTGCCCTCCGACTTCTAACTTGCATATTTATTTATCAAACCACTGCCTGCTGATCGACTCACCTTCTTGTACTATGAAATAGGGCTTCATTCTCCAACAAATATGGATGATCTCCTCTATTTATTTTGTGTATTTGAGTTTCCCCCCTTTTCCATTCCTCTTATTCCTTCTTCCTTCTTTAATCACCTTCTTTTGTTTTCTTCACTCCGACTATTTTACTTCAACCCTTTCGTGCTTTCTTTTCTTACTTCAAAACTCAATAAAATACTTCTCTTATCTTTGAGCTTGTGTCTTTTCTTCAGCTTTCAAATGGTTTTTTCTTTTGCAAAAACTTTACTGGAACCCTTTTTCATTACCGCGAATGCTCATCGCCATTCTATTTCCTTTGCTTCTTCCCATATACTTCCCACTTATGTTGTCCCACTTTTGAGTTTATATAATTTGGGATTAAATTCAACCGGTTGGTTCACAATTTTGGCTGAAATTTTCTTCCTGAGGACCGTTCCTCTATTATTTGCCCCAGGGGCGGATACATGGAGGTTTAGGAGTGTCCCGGGACACCCCTAAAATTTGGAAAATCGATTATCCAACTTTCGAAAGTAGTTTTTATATGTGTAAAAAAAATTAGTGATAGTGGAACACCCTTAAAATATGGAAAATGATTATTCAACCTCCTATAGTATTCTGCATATGGGTACAAATAATATTTAAGTGATAGGGTCTATATGATTTGAACTTGGGAACACTGCTACTATTAGTAAATATAGTTTCAATTAGACTACAACTCATTTGTAGTTATGTTTTAGATCAAAATATAATAGTAAAAGGCTATTCTTATCGCCAATTATTTTCAAAACCTAACGATTAAATCCAATTACGGGTTACCCTTGTTTATTAGGATATGTCACTAGAGATTTGTTAAGCAGTGTATACACCGAATGTATTTTACCATTCTTTCATAATAAGAAACATGTTTGAACTTTTATTCTAACTTTTACTAGTTGAATATTTTCATATTTAATAATTATTTGATTTTTTTTTATTTTTTTATTTTTTTTAAGAGGACACCCCTATTTAAAATTCCTGAATCCGCCACTGATTTGCCCTGAACCTATTCGACTCTTCTTCTCAAACTTCTGTTCTTCACTTCTTTTAGTATTAATACCCAAACTTTTACTACCTTGTTTACGGTAACCTTGTCACTATTCCTATTGAGGACTTATGCCGTCTTCTTCAAATCCCTCACCTTGGTGAAACCCTAGCTCATGGATATGAGTTCAGGCTCTATAACTTCAATGTTGAGGAGGAGTTTGTTAGACTCACATGCCGTCAGACAAATGCTCATTTTACTATTTGTTCTGCCTCTCCAGGAACCGTTCGTGCTACTTTACGTGAAATTTATGGCTCAGCTTAATTGTCTAAGTTTTTGAACTGGTTTCTGATTTCTCCTTGTTTGGTTTTGCTCTTCAGATTTTGGTTTATTTGAAAACCTGTATCTGGTGGGAAAGGTAGCAGTTTAATTTCGACGGTTTAATATTTCTCCTTGTACTTCTCGTACCGCCATCAAAGATCAGTTACTCTTGCATCGGCTACGGATACTATAACAACACCTATAGTGTTGTTACAGTAACAATAAGGGTAAAAACGGAAACTACAACAAAATTAAAAAAAAAGTATTTTCAAGTCATAGCCGCCCAGCCCTCTCTCGATCTCCCGTACACTCTGCTCCGCTGCCGGCATGAACGCGACTACGAATCTCATCCCCCGCCATTCCTTCTTTCTTCCGCCGTCGAGGTCGCCAATCCTCCTCCCCTTCCTGTTCGCCGGCGTACATCTTTAGCTCGTCGGTGGCCTGCAAAACAGAGCATCTGGACGCAGGGGAACAACCACAACAACAACGATTCACCACACACGCATACAGAATCATCGTCGTCATCCTGTCCGGAGCATGAGCCATCGATTTTGTTGACCTCCAAACGGCCGCCTGAAAACTCTATCCTCACCACCGCCCCTAAAAAACCAACATTAATTAATTCTATACCAAATGGCACCTCCAAACGGAGCCGCCGCCGACCTCACACAACCCTTGGTCGACTCTCACCTCCACCCGGACCCGCTCCCTTCCCCCAAATCTCCCCCGCCGCCGCCTGCAGAGCCGCCCCACTGCGGCAGCAACGAGCTCGAAAACGTCCTGTCCGATTCCAACCTCCCCTTCGTCCGTCAATTTTCGATCTATGGATCCGAATTCAGCCTGCGACAACAATCCCTTATTAAGGCCGGTCTCGGTCAGAGATTGAGAGAGCTGCCATGGAGAGAACCGATCCTCTTCTAATTGCAGATCTACTGGTAATATCTCAACCTCGAAAAGCTTACATCTCCGACGAAATCATTAAATTTACTGTTCTCAAAGCCCTCACTGTCATCCGAGCTACCATCCCTTAGCTACTATTTTACCATTTACTCCATCAATCGGGTCGCCGTTGCAAGATCCAACTAATGGAGTTCCCCATCTTGAGATTCTTGTATTTGCCTAGCTTGGATGAATGATCCCAATACTTCTATTGGTGGAATGCATGATGCTAGGGACGAAGAGTTGTAATTCTCAAAGCCGAGTAACATAGTGATCCTATGGTATTAAATGGTTGTAATGGTCAAGCTTGGTTGTGTTTCGTGTATATATATCATTTGAGAACTAACACTAAATATTAAAGCTAGATTGAGAGTGAAATATGAAATTTCAATTCATAAAAGCAAATCAGAATCATAAGCTCTGGCTACCATAACTCTCATGAAATATAACAGAAACATTACAAAGCATACTACTTACTATAAACCACCTAATACATACCATAAATCACCTAAAACATGTCAGAAAACACGATAAAGCAAACCCCAACTATTTCTAAAACACACCAAATACCTCCTAATGCAAACCACAAAAGCAAAAAAAAAAAAAAAAAAACAATAAAAAGCATACAAAAAACACCATAATGCATACCACAAATCCACTAAAACATACCAGAACGCCACAAAGCAAACCAGAAACCTCCTAATGCATACCACAAATCTCCTAAAACAAACCAAAACCCCCACAATGCAAAACACAATTTTTTTGAAAGCAAACCAGAAACTTCTCAATGCAAACCATAAACACGATAAAGCAAACTAGAAACTTCTCAATGCAAACCACAAACACAATAAAGCAAACCACAAAAGGCATACAAAAATGTGTGAAACCAAACCATAAATCTCACAATGTAGACCATACATCCGGTGGTCGTTGACTGGTCAACGAAGTTCGTTGACCAAACTCCGATGACCGTCAGTGACCGGATTCCGGCGCCGATAAGCATATTCCGGCCCCGGTGACTAGATTCCGATGCCGGTAAGCATATTCCGACGCCGGTAAGCATATTCCGGCGACGGTGAGCATATTCCGATGACAAAATAGCATATTCCGGCGACCGCGCGACCAGATTCCGGCGACCGGTGACCGAATTCCGGCGACCAAATTTTTGGGCAGAAAATAAAAAAATATTTTTTATTTTTTTTATTTTTTTATTTAAATAGATTTTTCATAATAACAATTATACCCCTGTTTTGATTTTACACTAGGTCAACTCATCTTATAAAAAGTCATCACAATCCTAGCTTCCTATTGGTTGGGGACTAGTGTTGTTACAATAACAACATAAAAAGAAAGTGTTGTTACACTATCTAGTCCCTCTTGCATCCGGTTACTATGTATGCTTACTACGTGAATTTCTCATTCCCAATAAAACATCAACTCAACCATGTAAGCCAACTAAAATAATTAACACCAACTATGGAATCCGAAACCACAACCATATAGCTCCCTTATCTTTATTCCTTACCCCTTATTAACACCTCGAATGTTTTATGACTATTATTGACTTCATCCTACAAATTAAACGCAAGCATCTAACTTTCCTTTGGAGCTAAAACTAAACAAGCAAGCAGCAGTAATTCAGTAAACAAACTGTTACCTACTTCTGGACAATCGCCTTCCTGGGGTCGGCTAATATTTCTCGTAGATGCCATTATTGACGGATGCAAAATCAGAATAATACGATGCAGAAACAGATTGAAACACGGACACCGGAGTTTACGTGGTATCCCTGGATGTGATCCAAGACTAATCCACAGAAGAGCTTGAATGCTCTTCAGCTACTGATTTTACTGTGTTGAGATTATGATCATCCACGTTACAGGCGGCCAAACTTCTCCTCCAACCCTTTATACAACACCATAGGGTTGTGCATGGACTAGCATGGGTCTACGTATGGGCTGCAAAATAACATGGGCCTCATTCACCTATAACACAATTAAACCGAAGCCCATTTAACTCTTAAAACGCTAACATCCTCCCTCAAATTGATGCCGATCTTTCAGCATCAATTTGCTCCCCAAATACAGTGACGACTAGTGGAAAAGGACTTTGTGAACAGATCAGCAACTTGTTCTTCTGTCCGAATATGATGTAAGCTGACAGTGCCATCACGAACAAGATCCCGAACGTAGTGCACATGAATCTCTATGTGCTTAGTCCGATCATGAAGAACTGGATTCTCTGCAATGCGAATAGCACTGGTGTTGTCTACATGCAATGCCATAGGCGCAGGACAAGTGATCCCGAAATCAGAGAGGAGACGTCTCAACCACACCATTTCAGATCCAACTTCGGACATAGCACGATATTCAGCTTCAGTTGATGATTTGGAGACCTTATCCTGCTTCTTACACCACCATGATATGTAAGCTCCACCAAGTTGAACACACCACCCGGATGTGGAACGACGTGTATCGACGCAGCCAACATAGTCAGAATCCGAGTATGCAGTAATTATAGGAGAACCTGTAGAGGGAAATAGAATCCCTACATCTTGTGTTCCATGAAGATACCGTAAGATCCGATGAACAACAGCAAGATGATCAACACACGGAGCAGTCATGAATTGACTAACCACTTGTACAACATAGGAGATGTCTGGACGAGTGGCAGATAGATAGATCAGACTTCCCACGATACTACGATATTGGGATCCATCCTTCAGAGGTTCACCAGAGTTTTTGTGCAGTCTCAAATTCACTTCCATGGGCGTCTTCACAGGTTTGCTGTTATCATCAAAGTTGTGATCACTGAGCAGATCAGAAATATATTTACGCTGACTTAGAAGAATACCTTGATCATTACGACTGACTTCCAGCCCCAGGAAGTATGATAGGTTGCCCAGATCCTTAATACTGAAAGTCTCTTTCAACCCAGCTTTAAGACGAGAAATTCCTTCCAGATCAGTTCCTGTAATCACCATGTCGTCAACATACAGGAGAAGAATAACTATGCCTGCCGAGGTAATCTTAGTAAAAAGTGAGGGATCGTTGAGACTTTGCTGAAAGCCCAGTTGAACAATCGTAGCCAGAAATTTCTCGAACCAGGCCCGAGGTGCCTGTTTGAGTCCGTAGCCTGTAATAAACAGACTTGATCCTCACGGCCAACAGTATAAGAGGAGGCCTTTCCATATAGATCACTTCCTCCAAATCACCATGGAGGAAGGCATTCTTCACATCCAATTGATAAAGAGGCCAGTTGAACAGAGCAGCCACATCGAGCAGAGTTCGGACAGTTGACATTTTTGCAACAGGCGCAAATGTCTCGTTATAATCCACTCCATGTTCTTGAGTATAGCCAAGAGCAACTAAACGAGCTTTGTTGCGTTTAATGGAGCCGTATGGAAGAACCTTGATGGCATAGACCCAACGACACCCGATGGTAGGAGGACACGGAACCGGTCGATCAACAACTGTCCAGGTTTGATTGGCTTCCAACTCCCCGAACTCCTCTTGCATGGCGCGATCCCATATTGGATTCCCATGAGCCTATTTAAAAGTGGTTGGGACAATGAGAGTGTCCACTCCATAAGCAAAATAATCATCGAACCTAGGAGGTGGAACTCCCTTGTTTACTCGTAGTGACCGCCGAGGCTGCTGTTGTTCTTCTGGTGATGGCGGATCCAAAATGGACATTGGTGGGCTGCTGCTAGTAGACGTTGAGGAAGAAGAGGTGCTGGATGTACTTGGCGTGGTGGAGGGCAGATCGGGAGAGGAAGGAGCATCATCAGGATCATTGGACAAATGAGCCATATCATCCAAGTCTTCATCAAAAATTGGCAGCGACTGTGTGCCACCAGGAAACTAGAGTTCAGAAATAGATTTGGAAGGATAGAACCTATGATTTTCAAAAAACACAACCGAAATTGCTATTCTCATACGCTTCCCCGTAGGATCATAGCAGAGGTACCCTTTGTGCACACTACTATATCCAAGAAAAACACAACGTACAGTTTTTGAAGTTAATTTAGTTCTCTCTCGTCTAGGAAGAAGAACAAAGCAGAGACAACCAAATACTCTTAACCGAGAATAATCTGGATGATGACCGTATAGGGAAAAATAAGGACTCAAATGATTTAAAACCGGAGTGACTTGATAGTTGATTAATCGCACTGCAGTTACTACGGCTTCAGGCCAAAAACAACCGGGAACAGAAGAATCAAGGAGTAAGGCTCTAGTAAGCTCCATAACATGTCTATTTTTCCGTTCTACTAGACCATTTTGTTGAGAAACTCCTGGGCAAGACATTTGGCTAAGAATACCATGAGATCGATAGACATCATCTAGAGGAATTGAGCTAAACTCTCCTCCTGGATCTGAACGGATAATTTTGACTGTTTTTCCGAATTGGGTTTGGATCATGTCAAGAAACTCAATGGCAACAGAACGAAGTTCGGATTTGAGTCTGAGAAAATATATCCAGGTATATCGGGTCGCATGGTCTATAAACAAGGCAAAATATTTGAATCCCAGACGAGAGACAGTAGGGGAAGGACCCCACAGATCAGTATGAACAAGATGGAAATGCTCATTTATAACAGTAGTGCTAGAAGGAAAAGATACGGTCGAGGTTTTAGCTTCAACACAACTGGGGCAAGAATGTTTTTCTGGAGTTTTTGCAATATTTTTCCCTAACAGAGACTGTTTAAACATGACTGAGAGACGACCTGGGTGTGGATGCCCCAGACGGGCATGCCAAAGTTCCCACACCTGATTAGATAAACTCGAAAACACAGGACCAACCACAGAAAGAGGTTCAAAGACATGAGAAGGACTACTGACAGACCTAGACATAACATGACTACTAGAAGAAGATGCTAAACTCGAACTATCCTGGAGCTCCTCCAAGTGGAAAATCCTCCCCTGTTTACTCCCCCTTCCGATCTGCCTCCCCGTATTCAATTCCTGTATAACACAACCAGTAGGACCAAACAAAACAGAGCATCCCTGTTCAGTAAGTTGCCCGACTGAAACCAAGTTCGGAACTAAAGCAGGAACATGAAGAGTGCAATCCAATGAAATATTAGGCGTGTCAACTTTACCTACTCCTGATACCACCATTCTATCACCATTGGCAACTGTCAATCCCTTATGACTAATGGATTTAATATTTTGCAGAAACTTTTTATCATTAGTCATGTGGTTATAGCAACCTGAATCAAGCAACCATGGTTTGTTTTGCACTTTACCTTGAAGGGTTGACAAGGCCGATCCTATGGCAGTGGGAAGAGAACTTTTCAAAGCTGCCACAGCTTGAACCAGTTGCTCCATTTGAGCTGCTGTGACACCTCCTGCCGCGGTTCCACTAGATTCCCCAGCATCAACATGATAAGTAGGGCGATTAAATCTCCCTTGTGACCCTCGGCCACCTCCTGCCGAACAAGAATTGCCTCCAAACGAACCAGAATTTCCACCAAACCTTTCCGCATTACGGTCACGCGTGCGACACTTTAAGACAATATGGCCCATTCTCTTGCAATAAACACAATAATTCCTTCGGCGACAATGCTTCACTAAATGCCCTTTTTCGTGGCAATGATGGCATTCCAATTCAGCATTGGGTACTCTACTATGGAATTGGGGACGTGAAACAGCAAGAACTTGAGTTCCATGTCCCATACCTGGCCTTGTTGAGCGAGCAGTAGTAGTGGCGAATGTCTCACCTTCCCCTGGACGAACATCAAATTGGGCTTGAGTTCTCAAGCGGGTCTCCTCGCGTACCAGGCTGTTGATCACCCCGTCGAAGGTAAGTCTCTCCCTGTTCAGAATGTTAGCCCGAACATTCTCATATTCGGGTCGCAGCCTCATTAAAAATTGCATAACCCTGGATTGTTGTCGTTTAGCGACCATGTCATCAGACATAGCTTGCGGCCTCAAAGTCAAGGTCAACATATCTTGCTCTGTCCACAACTCTTGCGCGGCGTTGAAGTACTCAGTCACTGTTCGATCGCCTTGAGTTAAGCAGGCAAGAGCTGTCTCTACCTCAAATTGTCGAGCAGCGCTAGTGGTGGAGTAGAGACCTGATAGATGGCGCCACATTCTGTTGGCAGTTGGGAATAAACGAAGGCTGAGGCAGGTCAAAGGATCGACCGAACCAAGAAGCCAGGAACGGACACGTGCATCACTTTGAGTCCATGTTGCTATCTCCTGAGAAGTGGCCGCAGCAGCAGCTGGTTGTGGAATTGAGCCATCCAAAATACCCAATAATCCTTTTCCCTCAACAAAAACCCGAAACTGAAATTTCCACAGTGCATAGTTTGACGATGTGAGGCGCACCGACGGCCTCTCCGAATCAGTCGCGGTAAGCTCTGATACCATATTGATGGATGCAAAATCAGAATAATACGATGCAGAAACAGATTGAAACACAGACACCGTAGTTTACGTGGTATCCCTGGATGTGATTCAGGACTAATCCACGGAAGAGCTTGAATGCTCTTCAGCTACTGATTTTACTGTGTTGAGATTATGATCATCCACGTTACAGGCGGCCAAACTTCTCCTCCAACCCTTTATACAACACCCTAGGGTTGTGCATGGACTAGCATGGGTCTACGTATGGGCTGCAAAATAACATGGGCCTCATTCATCTATAACACAATTAAACCGAAGCCCATTTAACTCTTAAAATGCTAACAGCCATATATATATAACGACTCTAGCACAACGTCCTGGTCTTCATCGAGATGGTCCGCTTGTCTCGATCACCTGGATGTTGCTCTCAACGAGCTAGGCGCCGCCGCTGACTAGCGCTCAGGCTGCTCTCTCTCACATTCTGGTTGGTTTCCGTTTGCTATGGTGGCGGCGGAACTGAGCGACCTTCGTTGTGCGAGAGGGAAGAGAAAGCGGGATGATATGGGGTTTTCTTTGGGGAACCGAGAGATAACGTGGTTGCTCGGCTGATGCTAGCTTAGGTTTAGAGGGGTTTTTTTTTATAGAGCTTGGGTTTAGGATTAATTTCAATTTATTATGAATATCCTAGTGGATGGGTAGTTTAGGAATAAATTAAAAAGTAGAAACATGGGTGTTTCAGAAACCATACACGATGGAACGTGGAAAAGAAAAGCGATGATTCGGGTATATTCAATTGCATAATTAGATCTAATGGCCTCGTTTGGAGAATTGGAGTCTAAATCTTTAAATTTTAGACAATCCAAATATTTTAACTCTCTCGATTGTTGAAAAAAAATTAAAATATTTATTGTTTGGTAACTACGATTGTTAACATCCAATGAGAAAAAATTCTATTTTTTTTATATTAAATGACACGTTTATCCTTAACCAAAATAATTAGATTGGCTCGAAAATATTGATAAGGGTATTTAGTGGGATAAATTAAAAAAAAAGAGATATAGTAGGAAGGGTAAAATCTCCAAAATCAATATGTAAAATCTCTCTAATTATAACTTATGAGAGATGTGATATCTCTGGAGTCGGATTAGGTGCTAACCTCCTATGAGGTTAGTACCATGCTAACTATGTTTCCAGCCGTGTGATGAAAATATAATTTAATGGCTAGGATTAATTTAAGGCTAATTTGGTAAAAACAACAATTAATCAAAACCCTAATATATATTCTACCCACCCCAAGTGCCGTCACCCACTTTGCTTTCTTTCAAACCGTGTGCCTCACTTAACCCTAATATATATTCTACCCACCCCAAGTGCCGTCACCCACTTTGCTTTCTTTCAAACCGTGTGCCTCACTTTCCTTTCTCTCTCTCTATCAAAAACTGCCCATCCCCCATTCTCAACAACAGTGAGGCGTTGAGGGTGGGTAAAATTTCGAGGAGAGAGAAGCCAGAAAATTTCGCTCCCACCTCTCTCCTACTTTCTGGGGTTTTTTCGACCTTTTTGATGACCGTTGGGAGCAAGCCTCCCTCGGTAGAGGCGGACCACTGCCTCAAGCCACCGGACGGATCGCCGGCGACGACACCTAGCCAACCCAGCAAGCGTGCCAGAGCCAGCGGCGGGGATGGGTTCCTTGAAGAAGATGGTATGGACTTTGCAATTGTCACAGCAAGAGGCACCGATGAGGAAAATCTGCAGAAGGAAGTGAACTTTATTGCAGGGAACAAGGAAAGTAAGCCAATGGAGACTGATTCGGGGGGAACAAAGCTCTCATACAAGGATTCCTTCCTTGGAAATGGACCGCCAAAAGATATCCCCGAGGGAGATGACCTGATGTCTGATGAATATGAAGGAGAGGAGGCAGAGGACGATCCCGATTGCCCCACTATCCGGCTTAAGAAAAGCACTGATGCGCGAATTCGTAATCGATGGAAGCGTGCAATCACTTTTCGTGTTCTGGGTAAGGCTTTCCCCTTTGCTTTTATCCACCGCAGAATTCATAAAATGTGGGCTAAAACAGGAGGGGTCAAGATTGGAGACATAGGAAATGGCTACTTCCAGGAGATATTCGATTCGCAGCTTGACCACGATCGTGCTTTGTATGGGGGTCCATGGACCATTGACGACCACTACATTGCCTCTGAGCCGTGGCGCATTGACTTTGATCCTGACTTCGACTCCATTAACAGAGCTTCAGTCTGGGTCAGACTTCCAAGGCTACCTCTGGCATATTTCGATGAAGAAATTCTTTCAGATATTGGAGATAAGCTGGGTAGAGTGGAAAAGATTGATTTCAACACGGCCAATGGATCAAGGGGGAATTATGCTCGCATCTATGTGGAAATTGATCTGAGGAAAAGATTAGTTTCTAAGTATCGGATCAAAAGAAGGGTTAGGAGGGTGGAGTATGAAGGACTCCATATTGTTTGTTTTGGGTGTGGGCATTATGGCCATGTCGAGGACTCCTGTCCACAGGGCTCTCAGCGTGAGACATCATCACCCGAGGACCGAATGAAGGCTAGTAGTAAACCAGCTGAGCCAGAAATCAGACTTGAAATCTTGGAGGATTTTGGGCCATGGATGTTGGCCACAAGGAATCGGAGGAAACCTAGGCCTAAAGTTCAACAACAAGCAGGGGGAAAGGTGCAAGGGGAAGAGAATCAGAAGAAAGAAACTTCTGGATCCAGATTCAATGTATTGGAAGAAGAATCTGAAGAGGGAGAAAAGAATACCCAAGAAGCTCAGGAAGAGGAGGAAACTACTACCACAGGAGAGAACATGGAAGCAGATAATGGAGCGGGGAAGGAGAATAGTCAAGTGGAATCGAGTAGGGAAAAGGAAAAAGAGCAGCAAAAGGAAAATCAGAAACAGGAGAAAAAGAAGCATAAGGAAAATACGGATGGAGACCAGAATAGGAAACCACACCAGAAAACGACACCAGAACATCTTAAAACCAGCTCTAAACTGGCCATGGAAAAGGGAGAGGAGGCTTCAAAATCTAGAGCCAAGTTGAGTTCGGGAGAGAAGAAACAAGAGGGCCAAGTCAGTAAGAAAGTCATGGCATCAGGGACCAAGGGTCACAATGTCAGCCTGCAGGCTGATGTCCAACATACATCTACGAGTATGGCCAATCAAGCCAAGCAAAAAAATGGCACGGGGAAAGAAAGCTCCAAGGATGCCAAGCAGGGTCATCAACCAAAAATGAAGGAAATGAATTTAAAGAATGGTAAGCAAGGTAGAAGCCCTGAGATGAAAAATAAACTGTCACCAGAAAATGTGAAGCATCCTCCCCGTAGAATCAGCTTTGAATCTAAGCAGGAAGAGGAAGCACAGAAACCTGAAAATGCTATCCACGATCCCAAAGCTCATTGCAGCGGAGAAATGGATGCGACGGCTATGGCCGTTGACCTCGTCTAAGTTTCAACCTTGTGTTGAGGGAAGGGAAGTACTCACTAATCTGTATAATGATTAAAGTCTTCTCTTGGAACTGCAGAGGTGCGAAGCATCTCAAATTTCGTCCTACTTTTGAGTTTTATAAGTCTACTCATAAACCAAACATTGTCTGCATTGTTGAACCGAGAGTTAGTGGGAAAGATGCCATGGACATCATCACTAAACTTGGCTTTGATTCCTGGGAAATCTCAGATGCCTCTGGATTTAGTGGAGGCATATGGTTGCTGTGGAATAAGAATGACGTGCAGATGTCTAATTTTGAGATACACAAGCAGTTCATTCACTTGAACTGCTCTGTGTCAAATGGAGAATGTTGTGCTCTCACTGCTATCTATGCCAACCCGAATGAGCATGCCAGAAGAGAATTATGGGATGCTCTTTGTGGGATCAGCAGCAGAATCAGTGGCCCTTGGATGCTGTTTGGAGACCTTAACTCCATCACAAGACCGTCTGATAAACAGGGAGGAGCCAGTTTCAGCTTTGCAAAAGTGAAACCACTGGTCAGTTTCATTGAAGACTGTGGACTTATGGATCTTGGATTCACAGGTCCTAGGTTTACATGGTTTAAAGGTGGATCTGGAGTCAGGGAAAGGCTTGATAGAGGTCTCTGCAACCTGGCATGGACACAAAAGTACCCCCAAACCACTGTCTTTCACCTGATCAAAATGAAATCGGATCACAGACCGATCCTGCTTTGCAACAAAAGCATCCCAGCCTCTTCCAAATTGGTGAGACGTTTCCAATTCCTTGCTCCTTGGCTTGCTCATGATGAATTCCTCCCTTTTGTTACTTCTGAATGGAAAAATGGTCATCCCCTTCCCTGTGCTCTGCAGGACCTGTCCAGCAAACTCAAGGATTGGAACAAAGATACCTTTGGGAACATCTTCAGAAAGAAAAGAAGACTGGCAAATGATCTTAAGTCCCTCGAGTCCCTGAATGCTAGGAACCCTACTTCATCATCCCTTGCTAAGGAGCAGAGCATTAGAGAAGAACTGGAAGATGTTCTCTGGCAGGAAGAGACTCTCTGGTTCCAAAAGTCTAGAGCTAACTGGAACATCTATGGGGACCAGAATACTAGGTTCTTCCATACCAGTACGCTCTGCAGGAGAAAGAGAAACAAAATTGTCAGCCTGAAGAATGAAGATGGGGATTGGCAAGAGAGCACTTCGTTCAACTGTTCACCAAAGCCACCAGATGCTCCCAACACTCCATTCCTGCCCTCTTCCCGCCCCTGGATAATCGTATTTGGGAGCAACTGACTAAACCCCCCTCTCCTGATGATATTTACATTATTGTTAAGGATATGGATGGCCTTAAGGCCCCTGGGAAAGATGGTTTCCATGCTCTTTTCTTTAAAAGATGCTGGAAACTTGTGGGTCAAGATTTCTGTTGTTTCATTAGGAATTGCTTCTGGAATCCAGACAGTATAAGGCTCATTAATGAGACTCTACTGGCCTTGATCCCAAAAGTTGATTCCCCTTGTTCTATGAGCCAATTTAGGCCAATTAGCCTCTGTAACATTGGTTACAAAGTGATGGCTAAATGCTTAGCCAACAAGCTTAAAAGCATCATGCCTATTCTTGTGAGACCTAACCAGTCTAGTTTTGTGCCTAATCGTCATATTACTGATAATATCCTCATTTTACAGGAGACCGTCCATTCAATGGCAAAGAAGATGGGAAGAAAGGGGATGATGCTCCTCAAGCTGGACCTGGCAAAAGCGTATGACCGTTTGGACTGGGACTTCCTTGCTGAAACCCTGGATCTGGAAGGAATTCCCCAATGCCTGATTAACATCATCATGAAGTGTGTCACAACTGTTGAGATGCAGGTGCTGTGGGAAGGAGGTGAAACTGAGAGCTTCAAACCAAGTAGAGGCCTTAGACAGGGATGCCCTCTTTCACCTTATCTCTTTACGCTTTGTGTAGAAAGATTAGGCCACTGTATTTCTGAGGCTGTTGATGGTAAAAGATGGATTCCGATTAGACTTTCCCCTGGAGGACCCCCCTTGTCTCACCTTTTCTTTGCGGACGATCTTGTCCTTTTTGCTGAAGCCTCTTTGAAGCAAGCAGAAATCATCAACCAATGTGTTGAATGTTTCTGTGATGCCTCAGGGGAGTTGGTGAGCAGGGAAAAGTCTAGAATTTTGTTTTCCAAGAACACTAGAGATAGAGATAGGAAAGACATTTGTGATAAACTTGGGATCCAATCCACCCTTGACTTAGGAAAGTACCTAGGGGTCCCAGTCATCCATGGAAGGATTAATAGGAACACTTATCGTTATATCATTGACAAAATTGATCAGAAATTGTCTTCGTGGAAAGCCAGAACCCTTTCCCTTGCTGGTAGGGTTACCCTTGCTCTTTCTGTGTTGAATGCCATCCCTGTGTATGCTATGCAGACCTCTATGATTCCTATTTCTGTTTGTGAGTTGATTGACAAGAAAATCAGGGGGTTTGTCTGGGGATCGAGTGAGGAAAAAAAGAAAGTTCACCTTGTCTCTTGGGATACTGTTTGTAAACCTAAGAACCAAGGGGGGCTGGGTTTAAGGTCTGCTAGAAGCCTTAATCTTGCCTTCATGATTAAGCTTGCTTGGCAGATTCTTAACAATAGCTCTGATATGTGGGTGCAGGTTATACAGGGAAAATATTTCAAGCACAAGGATGGCCAAATAGTGGGAATGAAAAAAAGCAACCACTCTAGCTTGTGGAAGGCAATCATGAAGGCCATGCCCCTCATGAAGAGTGCCACAAACTGGAGCATCAGGAATGGAAGAACCACTAGCTTCTGGCATCATCCATGGCTGGATCAAGGCATTTTCCTCAAAGATTTCATTACTCAGAATAGTCCTATCCCACAGGAGGACTCATCAGTTGCTGACTGGACAGACTGCAATGGAAACTGGGACTGGCAAAAGCTTCAGACCCTCCTTCCTCCCAATCTCCTGCCCCTAATTGCTGGAATGGAACCCCCAAAAAGTAATCTGGGAGAAGACAAATGTATTTGGGGCTTGGAGAGGGACGGGAGGTTTAGGCTCAAATCAGCTTATAAGCTTGCTGCTGATCAACTGGAGACAACTGAGGAGGGTTTTTGGAAGAAGCTCTGGAGTTGGAAGGGGCCAAGTCGCACAAAACACTTCCTTTGGTTGGTGATGCATGACAAACTTCTCACAAACAAGGAACGCGTGAAAAGGAAGCTCACCCTGAATGGCAACTGTAACCATTGTAAGGACACTGAAGAAACCACAGAACATATCATCAGACTCTGCAGGAAGACTGAAGGGGTCTGGGAAAAGTTCAGAACCAGGGTTACTTGTAAGGATAGAAACCTACCTTTCAAGGAGTGGATGTCCAAGAACCTTGAGAATGCAAACCAAGGTACTGAATTTGGCCTGATTGTGTGGCACCTTTGGAAACAGAGGAACGAGGAATGTATGGAAGGCACTGTGTATGTGGAGAAATCACTTATTTGCAGGATTGAGGCTTGGTTCAATATTTATAAGAAGGCCCTGCAAAATGTGGACAGAAGCTTCATGCCCGAAAGAACGAGAAGTGAAGTCCAGGTTGAATGGATCCCTCCACCTGAGGGATGGGTACAGGTCCAGACTGATGGTTCTGTCCTCTCTCCCTCAGGTTTTGCTGCTGCAGGTGGCCTTATTCGTGACTGCTTGGGACGCTGTTGTGCAGCTTTTGCTTGCAACTTGGGAAACTGCTCAATCACTGCAGCAGAACTCAAAGGAGCAGCTGATGGGCTTGAAATCGCATGGGAGAAGGGCTTCTGCCATGTTGAACTCAAGCTGGACTCTACTACTGCTATCACCATTATGAAAAACCGGTCGGATGATGATCACAGGCATGGACTGCTGGCTCAACACATCAGTAACCTCCTGAATCGTGAATGGATTGTGTCTGTTTCTCATGTGTATAGAGAAGGAAATCATGCTGCTGATTATCTTGCTAATTTTGGTCACAATCTTCCTTTTGGAACACATCATGTTGATGTGGACAGTCATGAACTATGTAAATGGCTTGACTATGATGTTATGGGTGTTTCACAACCCAGGTTCATTAATATATGAGTCCTAGACGCTTTAGCGTCTGCTATTTACCAAAAAAAAAAAAAAACAACAGTGAGGCGTTTGCTGACGAGAGGGCCATGACGAAAGGGGCTTATGACGGAGGGCGGCGCGCCGGCGGGAAGAAAGCGACGTGACTGAGAAGCACTCCCGATGTCAGCGAAAAGCAGGTGGCGGAGGATGGATCTGTTGGTTATTAGAGATTAAAATCAAGCCAGCGTCGTCGTCGATGACAGTGTCCCTAATCTCAATCGGCGCTGCAGGATTCATAGACGGCCAGATTTGTAGAAGTTGTGTAGTAGTAATTATTTAGTGATTAGTAGTTTATTGGGTATGTAGTAGTGATTGTTTTTCATTTCGAATCACTACTACTTTTCCTTCCCTTAAATGCAGTAGTGTTTTTTCTTTGATGTGTAGTTATTCCAATAATAGTTTACTCCTACCTAATCGTATTAGTAGTGATTATGTTATCATTACTTTCTAAAGTTCACCCATCACGAGCAACTTAAAATTCCTAAATCATTACTAATTACAATTAAATCACTACAAGAACAAATAAAATTGCTAATACAACCACCAAAATCACTACCAATGAATGTAACAGTAGTTCACGGTACTATATTTCAGGCCTACGACTAAAAAGAACAGAAAATATTTTAAAATTTAATTTATTAATTAAATTTTTTTTATATACCGAATATGCCACTCCTTATTCTCCAGCATCATATTATTATTAAAAACAATAAACACTGATTATAGTGGTTAGTACAGTGCTAACTCCAATGAAGTTAGCACTCTAACCAGTCCCGATATCTCTAGATTTGAGAGATTTAAAATCTCTTAGCTACAATCCACGATATAAAAAGTTGCAAAAAAATATAATATTTGCTAAATTTATGGATTCAATGAATACATGATCTAAATCTTGTTCTACAATCGACCCCTAACCTCTATATTTT